TCATATATATCTATTTATATATATAAAGAAAAGTGTACAATAAAAAAGGTTGAGATGTCAAATGTCTTAAATATTTTCAACTTTATTTTTTATTTTTTTTATCTTCAACAGATAAAATAGTAAACTAAATTTTGAGCAACCTGCTCTCTCAAAATAAAATATGCCAAAACCACAGCATATAATGCACATGAAAAGCACAACTGAAATCATAGACATGTGGGCATAAAAAAAACAAAATCAAACAAAAAAAAACTTGACTTTCTACTTTTCAGGAAGCCCATTGTGGCTTTTAAGATGTGTTTAAGATAAATATTCTGTTTCAAAAGCACCAGCCATTACAGATGTGTGCCGCTTCGTGGATTTAACTGTAATGTCCTGATCCTATATCTATTATGAGTCTGCTGAATCATTGTAATTTTTCTAGTCAAGTGAGAATATTTGTAACTATCCTGTGAGTTGCTGTTTTCAAAAGTCGGTCTACAAGACCTCAATTTGAACTCTGCTATGCCCATTCCCTGCTGTATCCTGATTCCATTATGAATTAAATGGTCTCCTGTTTGGCTTTGGTGCCAAGGACCTGTCTGGAATGGCCCATTGGGTGTGATCAATGAAACAAGGTTGGACAAGTCAAAGTATGTACAACACATTAAAATTTCATATCATGTTCTTTCCAAGTTTGTCTGAATCACTTGAACCCCCAACATACTAAAAAAGAGTGAAGAACTTTAGTGAAAGTTATCCACTTAGGATGGTCAATTATAGGATTCTGCTTTTCTTTTAGTTCATTCCTAAATTTACATTTGCAATAACATAAATCTAAAACAAAACGTAGGAAAGCCAGCAGCAAATACTTTTAAATCTTAAAAGTCATACCTTTGGGGCTCCTCCTTTCTCAAAAATATGATCATAGGCTTAAAAGCTTCTGTACGCTGCTTCATTATTTATTAACAAAGAGCAAATGGTAATATTTGTAGGTATTTCTGAGTGATCACTTCTTTTTTCCCATTGCCTCTTAATCTGGTAATCAGGGAGAGAGAGAGAGAGGAACGGGGGTGAAAAAAGCAGCGGCGAGCAGAGGATCAGGTTTCTCAGCCGCTCCGTACCCTAATCCTGGATTTGGAAATGGGATAAGAACATAGGTAAGTACAGACACAAGCAATTACAGCACTGACATAGGATTGGAAGGTGGTGGTGGTGGTAAGAGTGAGGGGGGGGGGGTCTCATAGGTCGAGGAGGGGCGGTGGTTGGATGAAGGTGGATGGGATATAAATACCTGCAGTAGAGCAAGGCAGAATAATGCTGAGGTGTATGACATGCTGACTTCATGCATCTGCAATACTGAATAAAGACAGGAAAGAAAGGAAGGTGCCCTGAAGGGGGGCCTCTGCAGCTGAGAACCACATTTCAGCAGCTGTAGCAGCAATTTTAACTTGAAGCTGAAGTTCTTCACTGTTCATCTTCAAGTTTTATCTGAGGGGGTAGAGTTGTGACTGAAACTGTGAAGAGTTCCGGCGGAGGTGCTGACGTCCCTTTCTCTTTGAGAGAAAAAAGTAACCCTTTGCAGTTTTATTCTGTTCTATTTCATTTTATTTTATACCCTCCTATATCCCCCTGTGCCTGAAGAGAGACGTATGCTCGACTGAGCCAGGGAGAAAAGGACAAGATAAGAAGACAATCCTGAAGCTGTAACGTCGCAGCCGGATAAAGACGGCAGAACAAGAAAAGGCCGAAGAAAAGGCAAGAAAGAGCTGACATCACAAGAAGCGCAAGTGGGAAGACAAGACTTGAAGAATGCAAGACAAAAGTAAAGGACAAACATAAGCAGTAATGGACAAGACCAAATAAAGTTGGGAAGAACCAAAGCCAATAAAACGGTTGCAATACTAACATCTGTGTACAGCTGGAACTGTTTGAGTGTTCCACAAAAAATGGCATGCCAGGCATTTGGTGCTGACTCTTTCACCTCCCTGGCAGCAGATTCACCTCTGCCGATCCTCATGCACCACGGCTCGACCGGTGACTGCCTGCCAACCTCCTCCCATGCTCACAGCATGGTCTCTGCAGGTAAATGAAGCAGACTCTTCCATGTGCTTTCTTTCAGATAATCCTCTTCTCATTACAATCAACCTCTAATTTGTTCTCCACTGATTGCTGTGTATTTGACACAGTAAGTAGAAAATTGTGGTTAAGAAGCTTGATTGACATGAACCAAATTCCATATTGTGTTGAATTGATGCAGAGAGGCAGAACAATTGTTCTTACCTTCCTCTTTAGGGGAAGATATTGACAATGTACATATCATACATGTTAACATCGTCTGAAATGATTTACTTGACACTGATTATAAACACATAAACAATACATGTAGGAGTTGCTCTTGTTGAGCTATAATTGACCAGAAATATTTAATCAGTGCAACAGTCCAGCAGTCCTTCTCACAGCAATGATGCATTCATAGACAACGGTGAGAATAAATCTAACACAGTTGTGTAAATGTATCTGAATCTTATCTAAATTATGTAATTGTACCTAACTGACTACTTTGGCTGAGTTGTCAGTGGATAATTGCTTTAAGGCTGAATTATTGTTATTGTTATAATTTCTGTCATGGTGAAATCTTGTCAAGATCACTAAGATTTCAGTGTTTGGTAATGCTTTTTGCTACAGGATTAGACCATTTAGACTTATACAACAGGATAAATGAGATATTAAAAAAAAACATCCTAATGCATGTTGAAATACTTACACATCACAGTTCTGACCGGATTGTCAAAAAGCCATGTACAATATTTAATGCTTTTTATTTTTTTGTTAAGTCTAATTCCTAACAGTACCTGTAAGTACTGGTCATACATGTGTATGCTGTTGATAATTACTTATTCAGCTGTCAAAAAAGTATTCACAGTGACATAAAAGTACATGTTGAGACTTTCAGACACATTTCCTTTCAGGGTATGAACGTGATCAGATCAGGGGAACTGTTTATCTTATTTGTGCTCATTAAATGAGTAAGAGTGTTGATAACAGTTTGATTCAGAGGCAAATCAATGAAAGGAAGCCATTTTTGTATGAAGTCTGATCTATATATACCACTGTACCTTCATCAGGTTCAATCTAATAATATTAAACTCTTTGGTTTAACACCTCCACATTTCAAAGCTGTGTAATTGTTTTATCATATTTTAAATTAATTATTCTCTTGTTTGTTAAGATTGTAACATTTGTTGGTTTTCATCAGTATCATCAGGACTGTCTTTGGGTCAGACCTCAAAGCGCGCACACATGCACCTGTCCACGTCGTCCCTTGGAAACGGTCTTGGTAATGGCCCCCCAAGTTTGCATTACCCAGTCGCCCCATGTCATTACAGCAACCAGCAGACCACCTACGGCATGATGACAGGTGAGTTGAGGATGAAGAAATTCAGATAATTGGTTAAATAATTGAAAGGACTAATTGAAAAGTATGAAAAATTGCCATTTTGATCTATACCAACTGGAGCAGTTTAAAAGAGTTTACTCCAGTAGTTTTCCAAATATACTGATATGCATTTCTGAAATGTGGGTCTGCACTCCATGTAAACAAAGCATCTATCAAAATATGCCAAAAACAACATAAAAGTTTGAGTTACATTACTGACTGATATTAGACTGGCCACAGTCTGTCTAGATAAACAAATGTGATGAAATTGGACAAGAATCTCAAAGTAGATGTTTAGGAAAAAATATGAGCGCATCTGCTTCTGAACGCATGCAATAAATAAATAAATGAATAAAGAAAATAAGAGAAAAGAAAATAAGTAAGACCAACATCAAGAATAAATAGCTGAAGAAGGACAGTGGAACCCATAAAAAACAGAGTTCGTCATTCAAACACATGACTTTAAACGTCTGTAAGTTTATTGTTTCAACATCTTTTTCAATTTTAGTCTAACACTGGTATACTTTATTCAACAAAATGTAAATACATAACACATCAAAACTGTCAGATTTCTAAATCCTAAACTGCTCTTCCATGGATGTTGCCTTTGTTGACCAATTTTCAGTCATTTCAGCTGTTTCTGTAGGTTTATAAACACACTTGATAGTTGGCAACAGTTCATACATTTTGCTAACAACTTTTACATTTAAGGACACATTATCATCAACATAAGAAAAATATTTGCTGGGTTTTACTTCATATTTTATGAATTTGAATTTGTGAATATGATATTTTTGTATCTGTCCATGATTTTTGTATTATTTTAAAATAAGCAAGTCAATAATGCCCTTATGCGGCACACATTTGACCCAGTGATAAATGCTTAATGTGCATTATCAGCACAGTCTCAGAGTGTCATGCATTTGAAGAACCAAATCACTGTTACAGTCTGAACAAAGCTCAAATCTCTAAAAATACACTGAAATATATGATTTTAAATGAACAGACTCGGCTATCACAGAGTTCCTGATGTTGGTCATCAGGGAATGACACTAACATCATAAAGTAATCAAAGTGATCATGAATATATTCTGCACCTCTGTGCCTCGTTTTCTTGCAGCACAGGAGATGCTTTCTGCCAGTATTTCTCAGACTCGTATCCTGCAGACCTGTGGCGTCCCTCACCCGAACATGGTGAGTGGTGCAAACCCATTACAAGGTAAAGACAACATTAACACTCTGCACACATACACACCTGCTCCCTCATTCCCTCGCATGCAGCTTATTCCAGTAAATTAAGCACTACGTGTGTTTACTTTCCATTTAGTTGTAAATTTGCTACCATTTAAAATTAATTTCAGCCATGATTACCTTTAAGTGCTATTGTTAAATCCAAATGTCACAGATGACTTGGTAATTGCTTCTAATTTTCTTTGATGCTCAAGTTTAAAATGTCCAGTCACCTAATCACTAAACTATATATATATAGTATAAAAACATAACTTTTCGAGGTCTGAAGTAGATTAAATTTGAGCTTTGTGTGTTTCTTCATTTGGTATAAACTTCTTTAAAATGAACCACAGAGACTAAGAATATTTATCATTTGTACACATTATAAAATGTTTCCTTTTTTTTAGACAAGACCTGTAAAAAGTAATAATTTAACAATTTGAGCCCTGCCCTGCCACTAGTGACCCACTCCAGTAAATTGTCTGACAGAAGTGAGTCATCCATAGTGTCAAAGGCTGTATTCTTTTATTACCACCAGGAAGAAGTCTAATGTGTCACCTCAATGATATTCAGTTGTGCATTACTAAGAAAGCAGATGGAATAACTCTAGCATCATAAACAAAACTGTGTGCAAAATTATTTTCCAGTTGTAAAAAAAGAGAAAAAAGCATATACATGTGTGTTCATATATGTAAGGACAAATTAATAATGTCTTGATTAAAATGAACACGTAGAATATTGACAAACCACTTTATAAAGGGATGTCGTGAGGAGTTTTTAGAATATCTTTAAAACGTTCAAGTAGCGTAATATGAGAATTAACCGCTGATGAATCAGAAAATTTGTTTTGTTCAGTGAGTTGAGAAGCAGCAGTGAAAAGATGGAATTGAGATAAATTGTGGGAACAAATATTTTTATTGCACAACTCTGGAATAATAAAAAGTGAGGTCAGTGGCGTATTTTTTTTCCTTAATGTTTTTGCTCCACAATCATCTTTGTGCTTTATCCTCTTCAGCGGGTCGCCACAGTGAGTCATCCTTCTCACTCTGTCCTCACTCCAACTACCTCCATGTTCTCTAACTGAAGTCTAACGCTAGAGTCTCTGACAGGACAATTACCGTATTTTTTGCTGTACAAGTTGAAGTTTTTTTGCATAAATTAGCATGCCTGCGATTTATTCAGCAAAGAGTTGTATTTATATATTTTTCCCATATTTATAACCCAATTTTTGGCTGAGATCTGCAATTTCATTCATTCTGACATGTAAAATATTGAACACTACCATTTTCAGCCACTAGACGGCCCTCAACTAATATGACAAGCCAAGTGTCTCATTAATAGGTAAAAGTGGCTATTAATGAGACACTTGGCTTGCCATACAGGCCACCTTCGTCTCACTCCAGAACTCCTGGAGCAAACGTCAAATCAGCTACATTTCGCCGTGCCGCCCAGGCGAAATGTAGCTGATTTGACCGTCAAAGTGCATTTATTAAGGAAAAGTTCAACTTAGACATATCTTTACTATATTTTCGAGCAAACAAATAATTGTTTTTAGGTAGTTATCTTGTTAGATTTCAAAGGAATGCACAGCGAGTTGTCTCTCTACTGCGCCCGCTTCCACGAATCAGCTTTTGAAATGAGCCGATTTGACCGTCAAAGTGCGTTTATTAAGGAAAAGTTAAACTGAGACACACCTTTGCTATCATTTTGAGCAACCAAACAATTAATTTTAACTATTAATCAAGTTAAATTCTTGTTAAAGTCCTCCCGTGCACGCTACCACGGCCCGATTTTGCAGCCAATCGATTTTTGGTACAACACCGACCCACATTTCTGGGTGGTCAGCGGTGACGTGTAACAAACGCGACACATCAACAGTGACGCATAATAGATGTGACTTATACGACGAAGCAATGCATTTGTTTTTTTCCACTTTATTAAACATATTTGGACTGATGCGACTTATATGGCGGTGCAACGTTTACAGTGGCAAGTACGGTACATCAGCATCAGTGGAGTGTGCCCAAATGGGAATCATATCCATTCTTGCAAGTTGACTATGCTCATTCAAGTAAATAAAACCAAGTCCGTTACTAGATTTTAAATTATCTGGAGTTATTTACTCTGAAACTGGACCAGGATTAGATTCATTGCCAGAAATTAGCAAGAATAAAATTATCAGAAACAAGTGCTTCATTGTGCCACTATGCGTGGTATGATTCTTTTTTTAATATGTAAAAAAAAAAAAAAAAATTCTTAAAAACAGACCATTTTGTAAAATAAACAATAAAACTGTCTCGTAAGACCAGAATTCAAAACCAACTATCCACATACCTCAGATCAGGGCAGATAAAAAATGGGAGGACAAGAGGGAAATTAAAGCCTGATTTGTAGTAAGAAATCAACATCATAGTCATGTACCATCTTGTTGAAATATTTTAATGGCATTATTATATAAGATTTTCAAATTATTTATGATTTTATGTTGACTAACACCAAATCAGCACCAAATTTTACTATAGCAAAGTGGTTCCCAACTCTGGTCCTTGAGGAACACCATCCTCGTTCAACCTTTATTTATACAAGTTATGCCTCATTGAGCCTCGGGGACTCATGTACAAGTGAGACCTGTTTTTTTTTTTTAACAAAGAATGATGACAACAATAGACAACAAAGACAACATTAGACAACCATAAAAGAAAGCATGTAAATTGCATGCTTTATTTGTTTCTATGCTCCAGCACACCTGTTTATCACACTTCCATTCAATTCAGGTGTGTTGGAACAGAGAATAAACTAAAACATACAGAATGGTGTTCCTCAGGGACCAGGGTTGAGAACCACTGCTATAATGTATATACATATGCAATGAAACTGAAAATAGATATTTTCTACAGTTACATAATTTTACCATAGCTCTGCTGTCCTTTGGTTTATTTATTTTTATTAAGTAAGCCAAAAATGATCAAGTTTTACCTTTTCATCTCTCTCTCATATATATATATATATATATATATATATATATATATATATATATATA